TGACAACTGCCAATGTCTTGGCTGGGTCACTATGCAGTAGGGGATCCTATTTTCTCCTGTACTTCAGCATGTGTGCAAAAAGGGCTGTGGGTGTGAGAGAGGTCAGGAAATAGTACACAACTTGCTACCGTGTGTGTGTTTTGCTTCCATCTGGGTTTTGACAAGTCCCTTCTGGGTAGATTGCCCTTCTGGGCAATAAACGGAGTATCTCTCTCGCATTGCGTTTCCTTTCAATGTACTGAAGGCCGCATTCATTCCTTATCATGGCAGATAACCTCCAGCTGTACGTCTTCCCCTAAAGGGCTGCAATGCTGCAGTCTTTACTGCTGTCTTCTGCACGTGGTTCAGATGTGCACCGCAGTGCCCAAGCCACTTAACTGGGAAAGTATCATCTCCTACGTGTGAACATTCAGGGTTCAGTTCCTTGTTCAGGAGACAGCTTGGCTACGCGATGTGTTTGCAGACTTGCAGAAGGCATGGCAACGCCAAGCGTCATGCATTGAGGGTAGGATGACGTGGAGAACTGTGGGAGAATTTTTAGAGATCAATGGTCACCCTGTGAGCACCCCAAGCACTGAGAACTTGTTGACGACAGTGTAAGCTTCAAGGAATATCGAAGGTCATATTGTGTTTTGTGAACGTCTGAGTTATGTTGAGGGAGGAAAGAACTGTTGCTGAATGTACCGATAAGCAGGATTTTAATTAAAACATAGAAGTAGATAACTAGGCGACTGAACAGCTGGGGCTAGCCAATCATATAGTAGAGATGCTTGTTTGAACTATGCATGTAACCAATTATTGCTTGAGTGTTGCGTGGCGCAGGAGAAAATTGTCTATATTAGCTGAGCTATCTGTGCAATAAAGTGGCATTTACCCTGATCATATTGGTCGTGGTGTATCTGTCCGTGCTTCCGCATCAACAGAGAACTGTGTTTGCACAGAAAGGACTAAGCTCAGGGGAGTAAGGGCTGGCATTCCCTGGGTTTGTTGCACTGGGAGTTCCCTGGAAAAGGAAGTATTGCCCAGGAGGCAGTCACAGAAGATGTGCCCTGGAAAGCAATTTGCTCCTGCCTTCCCTGGACTACTTGCAAAGTCTATGTTCCTGTGATGTCTCTTCAGGCACACAAGAGTATATCACGGCCTCAGCTGGAAGGAGCCTTGCTAATGTCTCTGCCCTCTTGGGGAGGTGTTTGCATACTTCTTTTGGGGGCTGCCAGGTACAACACAGACTCTGGAAATGAGACACTACATCTAAAGATGGACTCAACACATGTGGACAGCACAGCAGAGCTAGGCAGAGCTGTACCTGTGTGAACCTGGCAGATGATACCTGAAGCAGAAAACATCTTCCTTCCTCTTCTCCCCCTACCCCACAAAACCAAACCAAACCAACTAAAACAATCTGGGAAATTAGTTTCTAAAGAGTTTCTCTTTCATTGTGATGTTCTGCTCATTTTCCAGGCTGAACTCTTTAGCCCTGGGGATGGTGCAAAGTCGGTGTGCATTCCAGGAATCGTACCTGCTCTGCACCTACCTGCATGTTTGTTTTTCCAGTTGAATGCTTAAAAACCCCTCCTGTGCTGAAACTGTGTAAATACAAGTTAGAGCGAAATGGGTTTGGCCCTCCAGGGAGGCCTTTTTTTTCCCCTCTGAGAGCATCCTGTCGGCCCGTGGTTTGTCTCTGGGAACTGCTGAGCATGGGCTGTGCCAGGAGCACCTGATTGCAGGCAAGAGTGATACAGAGGCATATACATGTTCACACGTATATGCACAGAAGTGTGCCTGCAAACATGTGTGTCTCTACACAAATCCTTACGGAAATCATTGCAGAAAACACATGTGAAAAGATTTAGATCCTCTGCAAGTAATTACCTTCAAAAATGAAGACTGAAATTAATTATTGAAAATTTACAAGTTGACATACTGTATTTTCATTTTTATACATTATATATTACATATATGTAATGAATGAAATCTATAGATTGAAGTAGTACCATGTTTTGAAGAATTTTTATACTTTTATTAAGACAAAAGATCCTCTATTTAAGTATCTTTTATCTTAAAAATCTGAAATGTTTCTCAAATAGGTACAGCAAAATCATAGAGAGGAAGAAATGTGGAAATATACAATATTCAAAGGAAGTCAGCCAAACAGGTTTTTGAAACAGGAAGTTAGCCAAAAAAGCTTTTGTTTCTCACACTTTTCACTGGCAATAATTCAAGAAAGTTATTTGGAAAAAAAAACAACAAACCCACCAAAATTTGGACAATTAAAACTACTTTAAATCATCAAGATTATTAATATAAGACTTAAGAGCACACGGAAAATGTAAATAAGCCATAATTCAGATGCATGTTTTTATAATTGGTTATGAACTCTGAAACAATTCTGTTGACGTCTGTAATAAAAATTTTTAGCCGTATAAAATAGGAAGAAAATGTTTTCTTTCCTCTTTCAATTTCTTTGTCCCTTAAAACAGTCTTTAAAATGTTATGGAAACATAAGACATGGTAGATATCTCAATAAAAATTTTGGTGGAGATCAATGCAGTCTATTGTTATATCACACAGCACTTAACATTTTTGAAAAACAACCATGTTGACAGAGGAACTCTTACCAGAAAGTGAGATTTGTGAGGTAGGGCCTGATGGTATGAAATGTTGTCTTGCAACTTTAGAGGATGGGCTGAAGATGGGTTTAGTCTCTTTATCACATGGGTGAAGTTCATTTCATCTGCATTTAAGTCTCCACAATGCAAAGGTGAGATTTGATACTTTTCCCAATCACATTTATATAGGTGTATCCAAGTAAGTTAGGTGTCTAAGCTCCTGTTAGGGTCAGAGATTTGGAGCTTGATTCATTTACTTGAACATGCATGTTTAGTGCTATTTGAGATGCCAAGAGATGCCCAGGACTTTCTCATGGGTCTGCCAGAGATGATACAGACATCTATGATAGCCCATAGATGGCACTAGGGCATATCCATGAGCTCCTAAATTATAGACAGTGCCAAAACCTTATGGCATTTCAAATGACACTACATGTCTGTCTAAGAGTAGATAGACAGTGAGTCACTGGATTCCAGAGACTGATTCCTTTGCTTATAAAGGAGACACATGCATTGGGTCACACGTATCACACCATAGACTCCACTGACCATGGCCCAAACCCATGTACCTAGTAGCAGGTGTCTATGCTATCGGAGATGTCCCCTGCCATCCGGCCTGCTCCCCAACCACTTCTTCAGAGAGCAACATGTCTTCTGTATGTCTTGTGTCATATCTCCAAGCCTATGTGGATGGCTGGAACGTCCCAGGGAATTTCAGGTGGTAGCAGATGTCTCTGAATACACAAAACTGAATTGAGCCAGTCAGATTAACTTGTCTCATAGAATCATAGCATGGTTTGGGTTAGAAGGGACCTTCAAAGATTATCTAGTTCTATCCCCCTCCAATAGGCAGGGACATCTTTCACTAGATCATTTTGCTTAAAGCCCCATCCAACCTGACTTTGAACACTTCCAGTGATGGGGCATTCAAAATTTATTTGGGCAACCTCTTCCAGTGTCTCATCACCCTCATCATGAAATATTTCCTCTATATGTCCAATCTAAAACTACTCTCTGTCCCTTTAAAATCAATGCCCCTACAGGCCTTGATAAAAAGTCTTCCTCTGTCTTTCTTACAAGCCCCCTTTAAGTACTAAAAGGTTGCAATAAGGTCTCCCCAGTGCCTTCTCTTCTCCAAGTTGAATAACCCTAATTCTCTCAGCCTTTCTTCATAGCAGAGGTATTCCAGTTCTTTGGTCATTTTTGTGGCACTTCTCTGGACCTGCTCAAACATGTCCGCATCTTTGTTAAACCAGGAGCCCCAGAACCGCATGAAGCATTCCAGGTAAGGTCTCATGAAAGTGGACTAGAGGGGCAGGATCACATCCCTTGACCTGCTGGCCACGCTTCTTTTGATGCAGCCCAGCGTATAGTTGGCTTTCTGGACTGCAAATGCATATCACTGGCTCATATTCAGTTTTTCATCCGACAATACCTCCAAGTCATTCTCTGCAGGGCTACTTTCAATTAACACCCTAGTCTGTACTGATATTGGGGGGTTGCCCTGATCCAGGTGCACGACCTTGCAATTGTCCTAGTTGAACTTCATGATGTTCACATGGGACCACTTCTCAAGCCTATCAAGGTTCCTCTGGATAGCATTTCTTCCCTATAGCATGTCATAGACATCTGGGGAGTAACTCTTATGCCCAGAGATATGTACCTGGGATTACATGAGACATCCTACTGTATCCAAGATCTTCCTGTAGTACCAGCAATTATAATTCAATGGAGATGCACATGTTCTATAATGGCGGCTAGATACTATACACTTCAAATGTCATCAGATACTCCTGCTTAGACCCTTAATTATTTTTTTAACTCAGGTGAGCTGAATACCTTCCTATCCTACAGTCCTGTCACTGGTCTTTCCTATATCTCTCTGGCAATGTGCCGGTGCTTCATCTGAAGTGAGATATTTGTGGATGGTTTTTCAGCTGAGGGGAATTGACCTAGCAGTTGGGGTGAAATGGCTTAATTCTCATTTTAAAGAGAGCCCCTTTCATCTCCCTGTTCCTAAAGCTGTAGATAACGAGGTTCAATACAGGGGTCACCACAGAATAGAACAGAGAGAGCACCTTGTCCACATCCAGGGAAAAGCTGGATTTGGGACGTGTATAGATGAACACAGCTGTCCCATAGAATACTGTCACTACAGTGAGATGTGAGAAGCAAGTGAAGAATGCTTTATACCTTCCTTTGGCAGACCTGATTTTGAGGATGGAGTAAATGATGAGGCTGTAAGACACCAAAATGAGCAGAAAAGGCATCAGGATGACAAAGACAGCAGCCAGAATGATCTGTAGCTCATTCCAGTAAGTGTCTCCACACACCAGCATCAGCACTGGCTGGATCTCACAGAAGAAATGGTTGATCACATTAGAGCCACAGAAGGGCAAAGAGAAGATAAATGTAGTGTTGTCCAAGGGCCGCAAGGTTGCCACATACCCATGAGGAAGCAGCCAGCTGCATGCATACCTTCTTATTCATGATATCCATGTAACGCAGAGGGCTGCATATGGCTAGGTAGCGGTCATATGCCATAGCAGCTAATAGGCAGCACTCAGTTTCCCCAAAGAACAGAAAAAAATACATCTGTGCAGCACAACCTGCAAAAGAGATGGGTGTATCACTTGAAAGAAGATTGACTAGCACTCTGGGCAGGGTCACAGAGGTGTAGCAGATGTCCAGAAATCACAAGTTCTTGAGGAAGAAGTACATGGGAGTGTGGAGGACAGGGTCCATGTTAGTTACAAGAAGCACAATTAGGTTTCCCAGCACCGTGATGATGTAAATACATAGAAATAGGATGAAGAAGATGACTTTCATATCTGGATGATGAGAAAAACCCAGGATAACAAACACAATCACAGAAGTTTTATTTCCAGTGGTCCCTTCTTCAGAGGATTTCATCTTGGAACACTAAAGACACAGTGACAACAATGAAACAGTATGGTACATTTCTTAAGTAAAGCCAAATAGCTCTCTGTTGTTAGCAGTAGCTTGCATGAAATTCAGAGAGTCAATTCCAGTGCTAAAGCAAGGCATCTTACTGCTCTTTGAGAAGACTGACGATGGGCACCCCGGCCACCATCGGCCATGCTGAGAAGACAGGGTGCACTCCTGTGGATCTTGTGTCTCATTTGTGAACCTTGTGTGGATATGCTGGATAGCCCATGATATCTAAATCTATAGAGCTGTGTTTAGGCTTCTCAATCATTTCTGAGATTTCTGTTTCACACACTGAAATCTTAGATGTCTTGATAAACAATGAGGACAAATCCCACTCAAACTGTCCAGAAGCCAATAAGTCTGGTTCCCCACCCTCCCACCTATTTAATATTAACCTGGTATGATGTCTATGTTATGTGTATGTTCTGTTAGAACAATAGTTGACCTCTGGAGGATTTTAGTTTAAATTAATAGTTTCATTCTACTCTCAGTCATCTTGCATTGGAGCTTGGACACATACAATAGCTACTTTAAATGAAAGAGATGACCTGTCATGGTGTGCTCTCTTCATTGAAAGCTTAGGAAGCATTGGGCGACAAGTTCAGATCTCTGTGTATACGTGGACATTTAGGTGTGCTTATACTTAGGTATGTTATGTATGCTTATACATAGGTTTGTTATCCTGGGTTTTGTATGTCTTAGTTATCCAAGTCCATTGCACAGGGTTTGCAGATTTTCATTAGGATTGAGAGAAGTCTTACTCTATTCACTTGGAAGTCTGCCGAGAACCTCATAGATTTGCACAATGAAACCGAGTAACTGTGTTTAGACACCTCCTAACTCCCAGGCACAGAATTCAGGGTAAACCAATACCAGTCATGACAAAATAAAATGTCTCAAGAAAGATGCTATAACCTCTCAGGGCACTTCATCGTGATCATGCCTACAAGCCTTTACATTAGTCTATCCACAAGAGAGAAAAGAGAGACTTCATACCAACCTCCTGACTTGAAAGAGAAAATGGCCCAAAGAATGTGTAGTTTTTTAAAAGTTTGTTTAGGATTAGAGTTTGCCTCAACTGATTTACACAGAGGTAAATTAAGGAGAAAATCAGTCTCCAGTGGTGGCAATAGGCACTTCCAGAGGACAAATTTGCCTTGTTCTGAGGTAAAAGCCTAAAATGCACCTGAGAGGTTGCCCATTAGAAGAATGTATTTCTCTCCATCAACTGTCACAGGCGTCTCAATAGTCAGTTCAGGTATAGATGTCTATCAGCATCTAAAATGAGGTGAAATCAGTTGTATCAGGTGTCTCCTGGAATATGTGTGTTGAAAAGAAAGCACAAATACAATGGTTGTGTGATTCTGTGTATGTGCATTATCAGAAGTAGAATTATTACAGACAGTTATTAATAGCGCCGAGTCATATACTTTACAGTACAGCAGAGTATGGTACAACCAGTACTTTAAGGTGGGACCTGGTTTACTCAGGGAAGCAAGACCTCTAGAAGAAGTGAATAAAGTCTTTGGGAAGGCAGTAAAGACAGGTAAGGCCTTTAGAAAGGAAAAGCTAACCCTTTATCTTTGGCACCCAAAATTAGGTAGACAAGGTGTCCTTCAGGAGCCATTCAAATGCACATTCTTCTTTCCACTGACCATAAAGGAAACCTCAATGAATTTCTGAGACAGAATTCATAGAATCATAGAATGGTTTAAGTTGGAAAGGACCTTAAAGATCATCGAGTTCCAACCCCCATGCCATGGGCAGGGACACCTCCCATCAGACCAGGTTGCCCAGGGCCACGTCCAGCCTGGCCTTGAACACCTCCAGGGATGGGGCCTCAACAACCTCTCTGGGCAACCTGTTCCAGTGCCTTACAACCCTCAAAGTAAAAAACTTCTTCCTAATGTTTAATCTAAACCTGCCCTCTTCCAGTTTAAAGCCATTCCCCCTTGTCCTGTCATACATGCCCCAGTAAAAAGTCCTTCCCCAGCTCTCCTGTAGGCCCCCTTTATGTACTGGAAGTTCTCCCCGGAGCCTTCTCTTCTCCAGGCTGAACAGCCCCAACTCTCTCAGCCTCTCCTCACAGGAGAGGTGCTCCAGCCCTCGGATCAGCCTTGTGGCTCTCCTCTGGACACGCTCCAGCAGGTCCATGTATTTATTATGTTGGGGACTCCAGAGATGGACGCAGTACTCCAAGTGGGGTCTCATGAGAGTGGAGTAGAGGGGCAGAATCACATCCCTTGACCCGCTGGCCCTTCTCGTCAGGGCTGCTCTCCAACCATTCCCCGCTGAGCCTGTATTTGTGCTTGGGATTGCTCCGACCCAGATGTAGGACCTTGCACTTGGCCTTATTGAACTGCATGAGTTTGGCTTGGGCCCACCTCTCCAGCCTGTCCAGATCCTTCTCGATGGCATCCCTCCCCTCCAGCGTGTCTACCTCACCAAACAGTTTGGTATCATTGGCAAACTTGATGAGGGTGCACTCGACCCCACTGTCCATGTCTGCAACAAAAATGTTGAATTCTTGCCTTTCACTTGATCCAATTTGGTAAGATGGATCCCACTCTTACGTGAGCCTCTATACAGGTAAGGTACATCCAAAGCATGATTCAGACTACTGTGCAGGTAGGCTTCTGGTTTAGCACTTCTGATTTAGCCTCTCTGGTGACTGTCTACTCCATTTTTCTTCATTGTTTATAGAGGGAGGCCACAGAGCTCAGGAACCCAGTGTAAGTCCCCAAGTTGAATGTTGTGAGAATCATCCCTTCCTCATTCTCATTGCCTCTATTTGACCCCTCTACCTTTACTTTTCCAAATTTTTTTGCAGACCTTCTGTTCTGCCCTTTGGCACATGTGTGTCTGCCTCTACTCCTCCTGGTAATTTCTTTTCAAGTGAGCACTCCTTCACTTGTAGGTTATATTTCTAATAAAAATATGGGCTGCTGTTAGTAGGCATTTTCAAAAGAATCTCTGGATTCTGCATTCATGTGTTTCATGTTTTTACAACTGACATGCATTAGAGACTGTCGTGGTTTGGCCTCAGCCAGCAACAAAGAACCACGCAGCCGCTCGCACAACTTCCACAGTCGTGGAAAAAGAAAATGACAGGGCCAAACTCGTGGGTTAAAAGAGTGCAATTTAACAGAACAGCAAAAGGAAAAGACAAAAACGCGATTACAGTACCGCCGCGAAGCGCACCGACCGGACCCGCACCGCCGCAGCCCACCCCCGAGTGGCGACTCCTCTCCTTGCCCCGGCTAGCTCTTCTTATAGCTCGGGCATGGGTCACGTGGTATGGAATACCTGCCCCCTGCCGGCTCCTGGGGAGATTAACCCCATCCCTGCCGGAACCAGGACAGAGACAGGTAAGGAATTTATGTCATGTCTCTAATTCACATCATGTCTCTAATGCATGTCAGTTGTAAATTTTCTTTTTAGCTTCCCCCAAAGTTCTGCCTTGAGAATGCAGATGGCCAACCCTAAAACATCCTATCAAATTTTAACATGCAGCATGTTTTCTTTTTCTCTTAAACTGAAGTAAATATAAAACATTTTTCATACTGAAAAAAAAAATCGCTACAAATGACAACACTGCCCATCAACCAATCAGAAAAAGCATTTTAACATAACATAGCATATCACAAGTTCTCAGGCATGGCTGTAATTTCTTACAATAAATTAGAATAAAATTACCTTAATAATTTTTTTTCTGAAGGGAACATGCTTTATCTGAGAAAAATAAAAACAACTTTGACATTAGCTTTGTCTCACAGTCGATGATTTGATGAATTGTAAACTAGTGTTCTAAGCCCTTAACTGATGCTGACTTGTAAACTAGAGTACTAAATCCTTAACAGAAATTTGGTGATATTTGAGTTCAAGAAACAACAGAAACTGTTCAGACTCAGTTGAACTCAGTTTGTTTGGGATAACTCAATGACAATGGGAGAAATTCCAGTCAAGCCAAGATATTTTTTACCTACCTCTGCAGTCCTTCTCTTGTTTCTGTGTTCCATCTACTAAATCAGGGGGAACTGAAGTATTTGATATTTCTTCAGCTCCCCTAGAGACACGGTCCTTGTTGCATTGCAGGTGCTCTCTAAGATGAAATCATAAAGGCACATGGTCAACAACAGAGCTGTGCAGCAACCTCTCCTGAGACCTGTGAGATCAGTCAATCTCAAAACACAAATTGTGTCTCCATCATCTGTCAATTGGATCTCCGGGTACTCCAAACCTCTGAACTCCAGAATACTGGGACAGTGAAGTCTGTTAATGAGAAGCATTTCTGTCAAACTGTCAAATCCCATAGCACTTTTAGGTTGGAAGGCCTTGTGGAGGGTAAAAGGAAACAAGGACATTTTAGGAACAAAGCCCCCAGTGAGTCCTTTTGATTTATAGTCTGCCAATGAAGTGAAAAATCTTTCAATGCGGCCTAGAACAATCCACAGCTCCATCCTCTGAATGACGGAAAGAGAGGCTTAGAAATTACATGATTGGTTCCTCTGTGGCCAGAGAAATAATGGTGATTTTTTTTTTTTTTTTTTCTGTCCAAGTGTGTAGGCTCAAGGCTCTCTGTTCACTCTGGGCCATCACTCATTTGCACCCAAATGCTACTCCCTACTGAGAAAAAAAGTGCTTATGCCATGCAGGTAGCAGTCCCAACTGTGTGTGGGAGAAGGCTTCTTGAGAAGCTATGGCGAAAAGATTCCGTCTGGTCACTCCATCCTGACTTGCAGCTTTTCGTTCCCCAACCAGCATGGGGAAACGGGCCCCTCTGAGTTCCCTCTTGCCATTTGGCCTCCTCTGCTCTGCACCACTTGCCCTCCTGGACACATGACAGACATAAGGGATCCTGGTTCCCAGCTCATTATCATCTTCTGAGGCTGAGAAGATGACAGGTGCTTTGAGATGAGAAAAGCAGTGAAGACACAAGGCCATCACGTCCTCCTGCGTCT